AAAAAACGGCTGGTAGGGACTACATCGAGCTTCTTCCTGGGTTTGTGACATCACTAACCCCGATGTTTAAATAAACCCCGCCCCCGGGAACACGCAACTACCCGTAATGGTAGGGGGGCGTGACGTTTCCGGGCAACGTGCACTAGGCAGTTAGTGAGTCACAAAACACACTGGGCCAGCTAACCAATCAGAGCCCATTGCATATTTCTGAGGGAGGGGCTTCATAGAACCAGGAATTCAACAGACCGTTTCGAAGAGAATGGAAACAGCGGTGTAGAATAAAGGTAAAATATGTGAAAATAATGTGTTTTTTTTAAACAAAGCATAAACACATATTACACTGCACCCCATAAACACAATCAAGCTTTCAAAAAAAGCTGATCAACCACCCCTTTAAGTTTAGCTTCTGATGAAATGAGACACTGACACAGTTTTTCATGTTTAATACTGCTGCTTGATTTTAAGCTATATGTTGAATAAAGTGCCATGTAAATACACGTGACATGACTTCACAGGAGTGCTAATTTGCAGCGCTTGTGCAAACATACCCACGTTGCTATGAACAGATGCATTTGATAAAAATTACATTACAAAGTTTATTTACTTGTGTTTATTTTGTTACTGAGAGGAAAGCGCTCAGCACATATTTACATATTCAGATAAACGTCGCTTTCATCAGAGTGGGCGGAGTCGGGATGTTCGATAACAGTATACTGCTGCTCATGTATTTCGAACTTCGTTTTATCTATATTGAATAAAGTGCCATGTAAATACACGTGACATGACTTCACAGGAGTGCTAATTTGCAGCGCTTGTGCAAACATACCCACGTTGCTATGAACAGATGCATTTGATAAAAATTACATTACAAAGTTTATTTACTTACTTAAAGTATTTACTTACGTGTTTATTTTGTTACTGAGAGGAAAGCGCTCAGCACATATTTACATATTCAGATAAACGTCGCTTTCATCAGAGTGGGCGGAGTCGGGATGTTCGATAACAGTATACCTCTGCTCATGTATTTCAAACTTCGTTTTATCCCTAAACGAAGAACGAAAAAGAACTTAGTGCCAGATGTGTCCCCCTGCTTAAGCCAGTACATGTCCAGGCCCGTCTGAAGTTTGCTGGAGAGCATTTGGATGATCCAGAAGAGGATTGGGAGAATGTCATATGGTCAGATGAAACCAAAATATAACTTTTTGGTAAAAACTCAACTTGTCGTGTTTGGAGGAGAAAGAATGCTGAGTTGCATCCAAAGAACACCATACCTACTGTGAAGCATGGGGGTGGAAACATCATGCTTTGGGGCTGTTTTTCTGCAAAGGGACCAGGACGACTGATCCGTGTAAACGAAAGAATGAATGGGGCCATGTATCGTGAGATTTTGAGTGAAAACCTCCTTCCATCAGCAAGGGCATTGAAGATGAAATGTGGCTGGGTCTTTCAGCATGACAATGATCCCAAACACACCGCCCGGGCAACGAAGGAGTGGCTTCGTAAGAAGCATTTCAAGGTCCTGGAGTGGCCTAGCCAGTCTCCAGATCTCAACCCCATAGAAAATCTTTGGAGGGGGTTGAAAATCCGTGTTGCCCAGCGACAGCCCCAAAACATTACTGCTCTAGAGGAGATCTGGATGGAGGAATGGGCCAAAATACCAGCAACTGTGTGTGAAAACCTTGTGAAGACTTACAGAAAATGTTTGACCTCTGTCATTGCCAACAAAGTGTATATAACAAAGTATTGAGATGAAATTTTGTTATTGACCAAATACTTATTTTCCACCATAATTTGCAAATAAATTCTTTAAAAATCCTACAATGTGATTTTCTGGATTTTTTTTTCTCATTTTGTCTCTCATAGTTGAGGTATACCTATGATGAAAATTACAGGCCTCTCTCATCTTTTTAAGTGGGAGAACTTGCACAATTGGTGGCTGACTAAATACTTTTTTGCCCCACTGTATATATATATACACTTGTTCTGAATGAGACCTCTCAGTTTCCAGCACTTCCTTCTGGCTATGTTTAGGCATCATGCAGCGACATCATTTCAAGAGAGGGAATAAGATGGAAATTGATCACCTGGCTGGTTTAGTGACAAACGACTCTTTATATGGTCCCACAGTGTGAATCGAAAGATGGTATCGATTTTATCATTCATTTTTAAACAACTGTCATTGTAAAATCCTAATGGTTCTTCTAGGCCTTCTATTCTTTCCCATCCCTCCCTTTGGCCTTAGCTGGCAGAGCTCCAACTAGAGCACTCTGTCCCTATGGGCTAATCAGCTGAGCACAGGCCCGTTGGCTGGGCTGTTAGTTCTGGTTGTAATGCAGGCGGTGGGAATGTGTGTGTGCTTCCCAGCCCTGTTTAATCTCTCCTCTCTCTGGAATGCTGAAACTCTGAAGTGCTGCTTCAGCATCGTGGACCATTGCGAGTACAGCCTCGAAATAAATATTGAGTGTAGAGCTTCGACAGCACCTGGACACCTGTCTCAAACTTGCAATGGCGGATTCTCAGACGTACCATAGACAGTCCATGCAGATGCATTAGTTTGCATGAAAGGTTCTGCACTTCTCCTGAAGATAAAGTCCGTAACGAGACTCCTGGGCTCCAAACAGTTTAGATATTGTTAAATATTTATGTTACATTCATTAAGCATTTAAAAACTATTTATAGAGCCATCAGCGAAAGTGGCATGTTTCTCTGTCAGTAGCTGTGGGAATGTAGCGTGGTCTTTTTTTGCTGAGCTCCTGTTAGAGAGAATAAAAGAGAGCGTGCGGACTGTTTCGTGACGTTTTGAGCGGTGCCAGAGCTGTCCGACAGGAGACACAGAGGTCTAGGTGAGCTGTGGATTGGTATGACATTCACAGATGCTTGCTGAAATCCCCATCGCTCAGTTCTGGGAAAGGCGGCAGCAAGGACAGAACGAACTCTGGCTGTTTGTTGCACTGTGTCATACGGAAAACTGCTTTTTACTTAGTCCCTGTAGTGACAAACTTTATTTTTGTTGATTTTTTTTTAACACTGCAGGCCAGGAACAAACACTTTATGTAAAAGCCTCTGTGTTTTTAATCTTTATTTCCTGAAAATAATCAATTCATCATTTCAGAGCATAATTTTTGTGATAATCTATAAATATATAATGTGATTAATACATAACTAAAATGTATTATTTCTGTTCTAATTTGGATATTTTTATTTAAATGGACTTGTGTAACAATTATTTATTTATTATGTTTTTATATTATGTATTCTCTAAATGTTTTACTTTATTCTTTCATGTTTATTAACTTATTATCTTCCATACTATTAGAGTAAATATGATTTTATGTAACTTTTTTATATATTTTTTAATTTGACTACACTTTCTTTTCTTCTGTACTATTAGAATACGTTTTTCATTTAAACTTAATTTTGTTCTGTTCAATTAAAATAAATATTTGTTCTATTCTGTTCTGTTTTTTTATGTTCCTTTTAAATGATTTTTTAAATGAATTTAAACCTAGCTCTACTGTAGAAGTTCATTTGTGACTTTATACTGCTTTATAAACTAATAATGGTAACATTGAGAAATATTTTTCACAAAGTGGTGTAACTTTATGTAATTATATCAGACATTTTTGTTGATATTCATTTAGGAAGCTGTGGACATGTGTGTGTGTGTGTGTGTGTTTGTGAGAGAGAGAGAGAGAGAGAGAGAGAGAGAATAGTTGCTCATATGTACTCAGCTCCATGTCATAATTGTATAAGTAACTTGAATGAACAGACACATTTTTATAGTATACCTTTCCCTGCATCTAATTTGTTTTTGCCTATCATCTATAACTAGTAAATGGTCTCATTTTAGATTTCAAATGCAGACTCTGAAGAGTATAATTGAACAATTCAGTAGCTCTGTTCACCATGACCTACACCAGGGGTAGGCAAGTTCGGTCCTAGAGAGCCGCAGTCCTGCAGAGTTCAGCTCCAACCCTGAAAAAAATAGCCTTAGTAATCCTGAAGACATTGATTAGCTTGTTCAGGTGTGTTTGATTAGGGTTGGAGCTGAACTCTGCAGGACTGTGGCTCTCTAGGACCGAACTTGCCTACCGCTGACCTAGACCAAACCACTTTTCATATACTGTAAGGTGAAAGGCATTAGAGCTTACAGTACATAGAGAGAAAGAGAGCATTGGAGACATTGTGTCCTCGGGTTATGACGAAGACCCATATAAATATGTTCATCTAAGGTTTCAAAACAGAACCCAAGGAACAAAACATGGTCTTGTCCTCCACACTGAATCATTTTGGAAGCATACTGATCCTTGAAGGTATATATCACACACACACACCCAGCTCTGTTTTCAGTCTTGTTCAGGGGCCTGAAGGAAGGGCCGGTGTTTTCATTTCATATTCATAAATCATTCATTTAGCAAATCAGCCCTTCGTCTTTATATTGAGATTCCAAATATATTTTCCCATCCACATCACAGATGTAATCCCTCTGCCTGTCACTCTTTCCCAGCTCTCAGCTTTGACGAGAGTGACACATTTATGAGATATTTTCCCTGAGCTCTTATTCTTTTTTATTTCTGAGGCTTTGGCTCTCTAATGCAATTAAATAGATGTTTCAGGCTGAGAATGAGGGTGGAGTCCAATTTGAAACGTTAACCCCTCGCCCCCTGGGAAGCAGGTTGCCCCTTTAAAGCGGTGGCACTGAAGGTATTTCCAGATTAAACTTGCTTTTAGGATTCAACTTGCATTCAGTTTTGGAGCTTAATTAGACTGTAAGTGTTTTACATAGAGATATGAGATCATTTCAATGTGTACTGGTGTTAATCTGTGATTTTATTGCCAATTATAAATGGAAATGTCAATATTTTCTTCCCAGGAGAAAATTATAGGCTATGCTTCTGAAATTTTGTCTTTTTAACAGGGACTCATTTATTCAAGGCTGCATTTATTTAATCAATAATACAGTAAAAACAGTAATATTGTGAAATACTATTACTATTTAAATGGAGTCCACCGAGAAATGTGACGTGGTGATTCAACATTTCAACGGAAAGTTCCTCAAAACCCCACCAGGAGTGCCAGGCAAGTGTCAACAACTCAGTGTGTTCTAACAATATTGCATCCTAACCAGGTGCAAAGCGATAAAGTGACAATCACCTAGACATTTTGTTGCCCACTTGTCTATTCTCTCAGCTCTGTCCACACTAAAATCTCATTGCTCAAGTCCCTCTCCATATAGCTGTATATTAAAGGAATAGTTCAGCCAAAAATGACATTCTGTCATCCCTTACTCTCCCTCATGTTGTTCCAAACCCATATGTTTTTGTGAGTAAATGATGACAGAAATCTCTTTTTTTTATGAACTGTCCTTTTAAATATTTAATATGTTGTTCTGATTTCTGATTTCTCAAAATTACACCTGTCTCACTCACCATGTCAAGCTTTAGATATATACTAAACCCCTAAGCTCAGTGCGATTTAAAGCTCTCGTGTGAGGAAGCACACATCCCCCCACTTTGAGTCGCTCTGCTCATCAGCTTCATATGACAGGATCTGATTTATATGTTGATTAAGGTTTAATTTAAGCCTGGTGTGCATGAGGAAAACAGTTCCCAGAGGGCAGCAGAATGTACTGCATATACGAGAGACAAACATTTATACTGAAGACAGCATTTAGAACACATTTAACTTGCATTACCTGACGTATATCAGAGTGATACAGAATATTAGTGAGATATGAGGTTGATTTTATCTATCCGCATTAAATTGGGTTGTTAAAAATGGGCTGTGATATTATTGGTTGGCATTATTTTTGGCCTTATTCCAAAATAATTTCAAATGCCAAATGTGTTATTAGATTTGCTGATTTCTTTAAAAGAAAATCTTAACTGACAGCATTTGTGGCATAATGCTGATTACAACCAAATTTCATTTCCACTTGTCCCTCGTTTTCCAAAAAAGTGAACAGGGCCAATCTGCAAACTTTAAAATACTCTCAAAGTTTCAAAGTATAGCCACAAGACATAAACCATATGAATGTTTAAAATATTTTAAAATGAAAAATGTGTTTACTAACCATTTCAATCCAATTTCACAACTTTGTTGCCATGAAAAAATTATGTTGTAAACAATAAAACGAATGTAAAAATGATTTAAACAGCTCACATAATACAAGTTTTAGCTGATGAATTGTGACCCTGGACCACAAAACCAGTCTAAAGTTGCTGGGGTATATATGTGGCAATATTCATGGGTCAAAATTATAGATTTTTCTTTTATGCCAAAAATCATGAAGATATTTCGTAAATATCTTACTGTAAATATATTAAAACTTCGTTTTTGATTAGCAATATGCATTGCTAATAACTTAATTTGGACAACTTTAAATGTGATTTTCTCAATATTTTGATTTTTTTGCACCCTCAGATTCCAGATTTTCAAATATTGTCCTATCCTAACAAACCATACATCAATTGAAAGCCTATTTATTAGCCTATTTATACTTCTCATGGGTCAAAATTATAGATTTTTCTTTTATGCCAAAAATCATGAAGATATTTCGTAAATATCTTACTGTAAATATATTAAAACTTCGTTTTTGATTAGCAATATGCATTGCTAATAACTTAATTTGGACAACTTTAAATGTGATTTTCTCAATATTTTGATTTTTTTGCACCCTCAGATTCCAGATTTTCAAATATTGTCCTATCCTAACAAACCATGCATCAATTGAAAGCCTATTTATTAGCCTATTTATACTTCCAGATGATGTATAAATCTCAATTTCGAAAAATTGACCCTTATGACTGGTTTTGTGGTCCAGGGTCACAATTAATATAAGCGCTTTTATAAAATTAAAAGCTTCACATATCCTCCAAAAAATGGTCCATTCACTTCTACTGTAAGTGCCTTACTGTAATTCCCTTTTTGCTTATTTTTAAAGAAAATGATCATTCAAAATTACTTTCCATGGTCATCGACATTATGCTGATTGAACTTGTATTGAACTCAGAATATTTCTTTAAAGTAACAAACACTCAACAGCCGTGCTCAAAAAGACCAGAGACATTTATTAAAAAAGTAAATTCTGTCACCTTTTTTTAACAACGACAAAAACTTTATATCACAGGCGCACACCCAAATGTGTAAACAGTGTTGTTTAATGGTGTAATAGTGCAACGCTCAGGGTATTTTCCTCAGCAATGTGCTTGGTGTTTGTTCCCCTGCTGTTGCGGAGCTTTCTTGTTTCGCTTAGAGAGAGAGAAAAGGTGAGCAAAGGCAACAGAAACAGAGCTGGAGAGGTTAGGGTGGATGAGAGCGAGAGAGAATATGCGATTCCTGTTGGATGCATGTAGGTGTGTGTGTGTGTGTGTATCTGTCTGTTTTCTGTTTGAAGGAGGCATAGGCAGAGGGCTTGGGGGGAGCGTAAAAGCACCTGACAAGACAGAGAGAGAGATTGGAGAGGGCAGCCTGCAACTCTGGCAGTTGCTGTGTGATTTGTGGGGTGTAGCGTGCGGCTCGGTGTCAGACCCAAAGACAGAGGGATGATAGATGACTTCATCTATACCTCTCTCTCTCTCCCTTAAAGTCTCTTGGGGGGGGGGTGTAAAAGCAACAGACAAGACAGAGAGAGAGAGAATAGGAAGAGAGCGATTGGAGAGGGCAGCCTGCAACTCTGGCAGTTGCTGTGTGATTTGTGGGGTGTAGCGTGCGGCTCGGTGTCAGACCCAAAGACAGAGGGATGATGGATGACTTCATCTATACCTCTCTCTCTCTCCCTTAAAGTCTCTCTCTCTCTTTTCTCAGTACTAACAGACTGCTGGTCAACTCAGTCTTGTCTTTACCTTTACACCGTGTCTTAACCTGGTGCGACATGATAAAGTGACAACTGATAAAAATGTCTTCCATGTAAATCTGAGTTGTTACTAACCAGCTGCGACCACGACAAGCAATCAGCATTTTTCGGTCATTTGGTTTCTATTTCTGTAGCGTTTTCCTGGCCTCGTCCACACTGAAATCTGATTGGTCTGAATAAAATATAGAATAATGTGTATTATATTAATATAGACTACCGTTCAAAAGATTGGGGTCAGTAAGATTTTTAATTGTTTTTGAAAGAAGTCTTTTTTTTGGCTCACCAGGACTGCATTTATTTGATCAAAAAAGTAATATTGTGAAATATTATTACAATTTAAAAATAGCTGTTTTCTATTTAAATATATTTTAAAATGTAATTTATTCCTGTGATGCAAAGCTGAATCTTCAGTCTGCAGTGTCACATGATTGTTGAAAACAGTTGTGCTGCTCAAACGACAATCAAATGATGCTTCAAAAATATTTTATATAAATATTTTAGGTATCGCTATGCCTCTTATTAACACACCAAGGAGAGTAAAGACTTCAATGTAATAATTTTCCTGACATAAATCAATCTTCTGACATAATTCAAGTCTTATGACTCTAGACGACTTAATATATAGTGTACAGGCCATGTGGACCCTTTTTACAATGATTTTGGTCCCCATCCACTGTAGAGAAAAAAAGCAGTGTGAACATTCTTTAAACCATCTCTTTTTTTGTGCTCCATGAAAGTCATACAGGTTTAGAGGAAAACAAGGGAGAGTAAATGATGACAGAAATTTTATTTTCAGGTGAAATATCCCTTCACTTGAAAAAGAAAAGGCTTCTTCTGAGAAATGAAAGGCAGAGAGTGAGAATGGGGTGATATTGTGCACTCTAAAGTCAGGAATATTGCTGCAGCCGTAGCCAGCCTTCTGATAATGCATTCAGCCTTGAAAAGGAGCCGTGCATGTATTGATATCCAGGTTTAAAGCTCAAAAATAGGGCCTTATCGGTTTTCTCTCCCTCCCCTTCTATTTTCCATCTTTCTATTTCTCTCTCTGTACTTACTATCTAGTAAGTGGATCACACAAGCCTGTGGAATAACTGTGTTTTGCACAAGTGGTTCCTCTTGAAACTTGCTGTGAACTGAAGATTTTCTCAAACAGGTGTAGCGTTATTAAAACATCAGACATAAAAGAAATCAAATCTGCAGTATGCTTTTACAGAAAAACATTACACACCTGCATCCACCTATATGCTTCTTGCACAGATTTTGTTTATTTGAGAAAGAAAAAAGAACCTTGTTTGTCACTTAAAGGGATAGTACACCCTAAAATAAAAAAAACTCTTTCTTCATTTACTCACCCTTATGTTGTTCCAAACAGAGCTATCCAAACAGATAGCACTTGCTATCACTTGCTCTGTCGTTCTCCTAGTCTCTCTTGTCTCCATCTGCTGTAGGTGTGTGTTTGCTCGCGTGTTGTCCTGATCCAGCTTACTCAGACTTCTCTAACAGGCCACGACGGGACCATCAGGCCTGCATGCTCTCATAATTACACAGGCTCGTAGGAAACATGCTGATGCTGGGGTAGATAATGATGACGATCGTGTAATGCCATGACCCCTCCATCATGCACAAGCTCCCTGTCATGGGACGTCCAGTGCTCTTTCCGTTCTGCTGATCTTTTCTACATGCCCAGCTCAAGCCTGTGGGTTCTGTCAGATCTTGGAGTGCGTTTCAGGCAATTTGGCTGGCATCCTGATCTCGACCTTAATCCGTTTCTTCTTTTTTTTCTCCCTCCCTTCTTCTCTCCGTCTCACCCTATTTATGAGCAAAGTGACCTGTTTGGGAATCACGGCTAGGATGTGCTGACATAACACTACACACATACATATGCATTTATTCTGGAATTATTTAGCTGATGGTAATTGAAGGTAAAATTTAGATACAGGCACAATTTCTTATTTACTGTGACACAAGAAAGAAGCAGTACTCTACACATAACTGAAAAATAACAAATTGAAAGGGGAATGGGTATATGTAGCAAGGGGTCAAGGTCTGGCTGGTTGGATTGGCCCTGTGAGGCCCTGCTGGTAGATGCCATAACTACACAATCTTGCTCCAAAAAAACATTTTCTTTTTTCCCGTTGATGGCTGTTCAAAAGCAGCTGTGTATTGTGACAATATAAATATAGAAGCAACGTATACAGTATATCACTAATATTTCAGTATAGCA